CACTTTTTGGTAATACTTGCTTCTGATGCTAGATATTTCTTCAAAGCTATGGGGAGACAAGCACTCTGTGAGTATGGACCCCATTGTCAACAGAACTATGTTCTTCAAGGGCATGGAATAAAAATTAAAAAAAAAAAAACAACTAGTGCATACTACAGGAGGAAGTGACATTGTCCAGTGGTCCCATCCTGCCCCACCACAGTTATTCCATCCTCCTCTTAATCTATGATAGCTCATCTCTCCTCAAAAAGTGTAATTGATTGTTTAAATCTCTCCTTTTCTTTTTGTTTTGAGGCAAATGTCTTACTCAATAACCCAGACTTTCCTAGAACTCTCTCTGTGTAACCCAGGCTAACTTCCAACTCATGGAAATCCTCCTGCCTCAGCCTCCCAGCTGCTGGGATTGCAGGTAGGGAGTATAATTTTAAGTGTGGCAATTCATACCACACTTGTAGGAGGGCCTTTCACCATGAGAGCAAACAATCAGCCCTGAAAATTAGTAAAAAATGTCTTGGGACAATAGAGAAGCAAGTGGTTTCCAAGCTGTCCTTTTTCCCTTCTCTGGGAGCTCTGTGGACCTGTTCCCCAGCCAGGTGCAATCGCCTTGTGTACCCTGCATTCCCCTCTTCTCATTACAAAGCTGTCTTCCCCCAGCAGTTTCGACAGCCATATGTAAGGGCTGATTTTTGCTTTGAACTCAAACAGCTTTTAATACAAACCAAATCTCAGGTTAATCTTGGTATTGTTGTTCTATCCCAAACTGCAGTAATCCTGCATGATTGACAGACTCTTCAGTCACTGACTCCTCCAAGCTTGAGTGCACAGGACCTGACCCAGACCCTCTCCTAGCCACACTGGTATGGCTGCCAGGTTCTCACTGGGAGGACTTGAAACGTGAGCCCTGATCCAAAGGCATCAAATCCCACACCATTGTGTTTCTGAACAGTGGTTGGAAATTAAGCAAGGAACTTGAAGATTTGCACTCAAGCCCTTGTAGTTATAGGTAGAGATTTTCCTGCAAAGCCCTTGGGCTTGGTTGAGGTAGCCATTTCAAAGAACATTTGATGTTAGCATGCCCTGATTTAGAACTTCTCAGAAAAAGAGAGGAAGTAGCAGTTGCCCCTGGGATAGTAGATCTCCTACCAGGATATCAGGACACTCCCCCTGGCCTCAGCTCTTCTGCTGTCTGCTCCATGGGAAAAACGGCATCCTAGAAGGGGTGGAGGGGATCGCAGACCTGATATGCTAGTGTTGGGCTTCACAGAGGAGACTGCATTTTCATTTGCATAGGAAATTGACATCCAGGTTACAGAATCTTGAGTTTCATCTTCTAAGAAGATCACAGAACGTAGTGCAAGGTCAGACTGGCATGAAATCAATTGTAATCTGCCAGCAAGCCATTCAGACCTCTTTAAGAGTTTTCTTTTATATTTTCCCCTTTATAGAGAGAGGAAAGTACAGTTAAGGAATGTCTCATCAAATCAGAATGTCTTCCTAAAATTATTTTTTTAATTGGTTGCTGCTGTAATGTGCCCTATGGCCTCCTGGTATTTAACCCTCTGTGTAACTTTGATTAATGAACAAATTTTGTCAACTCTAGTGGTCTTGCTAAGTGTATTTTAGTTGACTTAAAAAAATTACAGAGTATTATGAAAACCTCAGATCTTTCCACCTAATTGATTGGCTGGTGCTGATGCCATCTCTCTGAGTGTAATGCTTTTTAAGTGTGCAGGCCTAACTATTTTTTTTATTTTTATATAGCAGTTCCATTTTATAATGACATTAAGCCATTCAGAGTAATATGTTGCTGGACAGTTATTGCACGAGTAGCAAGTGTCATCTGGCTTTTAGTCTTGTGCCTAACGACACCAACTGAGGCGTAAAATGATCCCCAGAAAATGTGCAAGGCTTTACCTCATTATTAAAGATAAATCTGGGAGTCTGGTTCTGTTTCAGAAAAGATTTGGTGAGTTATAACATTTGATTTATGGGTGCAATTAAAATATAACTGATAAGTTCTGGCTCTTCAATCAACCATCTGGATAGTTTGATATTTTGACATGTCTCTGTTGTAGCCAGGGTCTTTTGAGGGACAATTTAGTGCCCCTGATTTCTTGAGACATCATCGATATCCCCATGTTGCCACCCCACCTGTTGAAGTGTCTTTAGTTCCTCAGTTCGGACTTAGAAAGAATAAAATTTCCCTTTAAGTTTCCTATCACCTCAGAGGCAGATCTTGGTGCTCAGTCCTTCTGTTTGGTTTTTAGGGTATGAAGATAGTTCAGCTGTCCTTGGTCAGATAACACTGTTGGTCAATGGAAAGGGACCCTTTAGTGTACAATGCAAGCAATATTGATGTGTGCTTTTCCTGCCAGCCATTAGGGTATCTGTGGCAGCTGTGTCCACCTAACGTGGTTGACTCTTCTCCAGGTACTTGGACCATAAATTGTGAAAATTGTGATCAATGTTCAGGGTGTAGTTCTAATGGCATAGATACAAATTTCAGGCATGACAGGTCCTTCACTTACTTTTTCTGATTTAGGTGTGTGATTGACAACTGATAAACAGCTCATTGAGAACATGTGTTTTTTTTTTTTTTAAAAAAGGAAAGTTTGGGGCTGGAGAGATGGCTCAGTGGTTAAGAGCATTGCCTGCTCTTCCAAAGGTCCTGAGTTCAATTCCCAGCAACCACATAGTGGCTCACAACCATCTGTAAAGAGGTCTGGCGCCCTCTTCTGGCCTTCAGGCATACCGACAGAATATTGTATACATAATAAATAAATAAATAAGTATTTTAAAAAAAAAGGAAAGTTTAAGACAAAGTTAGTAATAGCAAAGAGGCAGGGTCGGTTAGCCTTCGCTACACTTTATTATTAATGACAGTTGAACATGGGAATACCTGAGCACACTGCCCTCAAAATGCATGTTTCCTGTTTGCTTGTAAATTACACGGAGGAAAGAAACAACAGAAATTTTGCACATACACTAGCAAGAGAGACCAGCAACTACAGACCAGCAAGCACACATCAGCAGGCATAAAGCAGCAAGCACAGGCCAGAACAACAAGCATGCTTGGCAAGCACAGGTAGCAAGTGCAGATCAACAGCCATTCTGTCCTCCTTATCGGCTGGGCTGAAATCAGCAGGGCCTGAAAATACCCAGCTTGCCTGTGGCTCACAGATGAACCTATAGTCAGATGCTATGCTGCTGCCTAGATCTGAGGCTCTATGTTTATGTCAAAAGTTCCCTAAGCAAGATTTCTTGGGTGCAGTTTGGTTTCTCAGTGTGAACTCTTAGACGGGTCTTTTGTTATCTGTGTGTCATAACCTCCCATTTGTTTTTGTTTATCCTTTTAAAAAAGCAGTTTTCATCAAATAGCTGTATGTCAGGCAGGAACTTGTGTTGCCAAAAATAATATGGAGGATCCCTTCTTCAAGCCCAGAGCCAGTACTAGGTCAAGGTCACCCTATTTATTCTATACATATCTATCTGTTTTGCTCCAATGGCATTTATCAGGATCCTCACCATTTTGCTTTGCCAGTAAGTCCAAGGGAGGGACTGTGTGACTTGCACTGGCCATCTGGAGCTTCTGTCAGCTCCGTGTCCTCTAACAAGTGACACAGCTCTTCAGAAAGTACTACCCATTGCCAGCGGGCAGTGCACACCAGCGGGTGCTCAAGGAGGCTCTCTTAAAAGGACCTTAATGTCCTAGGTTCTCCATGACATAGTAAAAGGTATGTGATGGGATCCAGACTAAAAATCCATCTGACAGCAGCTGTCCTGGAGGATGACGGCCCTGTGCAGCATCCATGGCTGCGTGCGGGGTGAGGCTGGCAGAGCCTGGCCGTATTTCTGTCTTCTCTCCTGTTCCATAGGATGCATGCTAATGAACTCACCACTACTTGTAAAGGCCAAAGGGCTGTTGTTTAAGTGATGTGATTGTGCATGGGAAAGTGAAACTATGGTAATTGTTTTGACCTTTCAGCCAGCTGATGTCCTGCCCTCTCACACTTATTACTCTTGGGTCCATTTTCAAAAATATACATTTACAGAGGCACAGAATTAAATGTGAAGCATAAGAAAATATCTGGTTCCACTCAGGTTCTATTTATAAATGTCTTTGTCCATCTATCCATGTTGATTCTAACTACTTCTGCTTCCCTCCCTGGTCCCTGAACCCTCATCATTCATTTCTGGTACCCACATGCCGTCTCGCCAGCAATCTCAGCTTTACACCACTGTTGGAAAGAAAAGTAACATATGTCTCTTTGCCGAATGCACGGTTGTATTAGAAAGCTGCACTCAGCTTTAATTACGGAGTGCCTATGGAATCAGAACTTTGCCCCACTCTCCATTCTATAGGGCTATCTTCAAAGTTGTCATCCCTGAAACCCTTGCTTATTCCATTGCAGGTAATGGTTCCTCAGATAGTGGGCTCTGGTGAATCTCAGTCTCCTTGCTCTTCTATGTTTATGTCATCATGGTTTCATTTGGGGCCAGCCGTCTCTCCCAGGTCTTTTCCTCGTAAAGCTGTTTGAGGAAACAATTTGATAGCAGGAGCATAGACGAGACAACTTATTAATATGCAGTGTCAAAACACATTGTCACATGGTATTATGTGATATACGATAAAATGTATCAATTCTGAGCACCACAAATATCTGCAACTTCACCTCAGCATGAAGGCGAATGAGTTTCCCTTAGCTTGACTGAGTTTAGAGATAAACTTCAGTGTAACAAAATGTATTTCACAGGAATTGTTTGATGTGGCACAGTTGGCTTATGAATCTCTTATCTATTCAAGGTTCACTCCTTAGAGTTATTAGTCAATTTAATTTGAACAAATGCCAGGATTACTAACTAATTAGAAGGATGTTGCTGAAGGCACATGGATGGGGAGTGAGTAAGCACTGGCCGTGTGGGGTTTGTGGCAGTATGCAGCTCTGATCTGCTGATGCTATCGTTTGCTAAACATCACACTTTATGTCATTGTCACACAGATAAGCCGCAAGTGCATATCCAGATGACTTACCCTCTACAAGGCCTAACCCGGGAAGGGGATGCGCTTGAGTTAACATGTGAAGCCATCGGGAAGCCCCAGTAAGTTCTGAAGGCCAAGGTTGGCAGAGGGTCGTGAGCAGTAAATGTCACAACATGAAGATGTGTATTCACAACTCATTGGCCCGTCACCTGTCTCCTGCTGTAAAAAGGATGGATGATTTTTCTGGAAACGACGAATATTCAATGAGAGGGGAATAAATACCTATAGTTCTTAATGGTCAGGATCAGGAGGAAAGTGCCAGCTAAAGCTGAAATTCTAGTGAATTCTGTTTATTGTTGTCAACAGGCTGCTCACAGCTATTTTCTCTTACATTAAATTTCAACATACTGGGGCTGGAAAGATGGCTCAGCAGTTAAGAGCCCTCACTGCTAGTGTAAAAATCAAAGTTTGGTCCCCAGCATCCATATCAGGTGGCTTACAACAGGGATATCCCTCCAGCTCCAGGGGATCCAGCCTGCTTCTACCCTCCACAGGCTCCGACCCAAAGACACACATGGATATACAGAAATAAAAATCATTCAAAATATAAGTAAACCCTCAATGCAATAGAATGTCTGCTAATAAGCGTGTTCTTACCACAGCTGGTAGATGGTTTTCTAAACTCTGGGGTACAGTGCTTAGGGCCAGATGTAGGGGGAAAAAGTGCTTCCAAATGCTGTACTCAACCAAGAAGCAGCTTTGTTGGCGGAGACTGCCCTCAAGAAGAATGTTACTGTCGCTGCCCAGGAGGAGAGGAGAGGACAGCCGACAGACTCTTGTGTTGCTGAGGAGTGTGACAGAAATGCTCTCTTTATCTCTGCACAATAATCCAGATGAATCAGAAGAGCGGTGTGGATCGCCACTACCATGGCAAACAAGCCTTGAGTCTGCTCCCCTGCAAATATCTCACAGTTTACTTAGAGAGGAGGGAAGAAGGGAGCTTTTTATCTTTCTAGTAAAACAAAATGTTTTTTAACTCTTTTAAAGGAAAATGAAACAAACAACCATCCCAGTCCACTGAATCATAAAATGGAAGGACAGGTCAGGTTGGGATTACGGGCACTAAAACGCAAAGCAGTACCTAATGGGAGAAACAGCAGTGAGCTCCCTCTGCTGTCCCTGTGGCATGTTGTCGGTTTCCCTCACAGTCTGGATAAACATCATCTGCTCCATTCTCATATAAAGACCTCGTGCATCCTAGCACAGCTTCCCTCCATATCCATGGAGAGAGCTCTCCCTGTGATAGTTAGAGGGGAGCCTGACCATGGCTAATCCTTCTCCCTCTCCTCCGTCCTCTAGTCATGGGCTAGTTAGCCTTCCCTGCCTGAGGAGGCAGAGCTAGAACGGTAACCTTTAGAGGAAGGTGGATCTGCTTCTGTTTTGCTTCTTTTCCGTGCTGCTGACTTTTTTGATCCCAGCTTTGACAGAGAAGGCTTTTTCTCTTTTAAGTCCTTCAAAAAGATTTAGATCTTTCCTTTTATAAAGTAATTTATGCCCTAATTAGCAGTCTCCCTTGCCTCCCAAACAACCCCAGTGGACTAAGGGAAAACACTTCTCTTGGTTGGGCCCCTGTTTACAGCACCTATATTCAGCCAATCAGTCACATTTATACTGCTTGGATTACTAACCTGTATTTTATTTCTGTATTTTTTTTTCTTCTGAAGAAGGTACTGTGTTCGATTGCATGTGCCACAGGGACAGTAAATTCCATGTTTCCTTCAGGACACTTTTGCCAGGGAGAGTATTTGTTTGTTACTCTCAAATTGGAAAGGGTATGTAGCTGTATTACTCCGTAGCAATCCCCTCCTTGCACATTACCTATTTATTTTCTCAAGAAATTGCATACAATAAAAATGGTAATTTAACTTGCCATTATATGTTGTGAATATTCTCAGTGCTTCCCCCCACTGATTGTTTCAGCTGTCAAGCAGCAGGACGTGAGGTCTGACTGCCAGACAGCACCATTTGCTACTGCCTACAGGAGGAGGACATACGCAGCACTAACTTTAAATAATTTACCGCATTGTGATAACAAACCCATGTGTAATTAAAGAAAAATTGCACCTTCACATCCCATTTGAACACTGGGATGCTACTTGACAGGCCTAACTTGAGCATCCGTTTGTCATTTACGCCTAGGTCTCTCTACCCATGTCATTGCTCCTAGAGGAAGTGCTAGGGACTGAAAGACGATTGCTTATGTGTTCAAATCGGTGTCAGCTCTTCCTTTCAAACAAAAGCTGGGGTATGACCAGGACCAGGGGCTTAGTGCTTGCCTAACACTCACCAAGCCCTGGGATATGGCTCCAGCATCACACACACCACACGAAAGAACATGCTTTCAGATACACTCTTAGATCTGCACTTGGTTTCCTAGGAGCACGAGAGAGGCACCTTGAAGACACAGGTTCCAAGTCCAGTGAGTGAAAGACTTGGTGTGTATGCTCTCTCCTCTCCAGAGCATCCTGTCAAATTTGCTCTTCCGTAATGGCTGTCTTAAGATTCATGTGCTATTTCAAGTCACTAAAACTTATTTCTGATAAGCAAGTTCCTCTGTTGGACCTAAAGAGTCCACTTTGAGATGTGTCCTTCCGTCATTAATCCAAAACCAAATGTACTCACAGGGAAGGTCCAGCCATTTCTGGACCTAGAAGACAGAGGACCAGTTACTGATCAGGGGCAGATAGACAAGGTGAACAGGGCCATCCAAGAGGCCTCTCAGGTGGGGAGAGTTAGGCTAAATGAAGAGGAAGTGATTGCACCTTTTGAGAATCAAAGGTTGTTTTTTCAAAAAGAGATCAAAACAAAATTCTGTGTAAACCAGAGCTGATGGCACAGACCTGCAATCCCAGCTGCTCTGGAAGCAGAGTCAGGAGACTCACTGCCATTTCAAGAGCAGCCTGGTCTACACACCAAGTTCCAGCCCAGCTAGGGCAACCTCAAGAGCAAACGGTAATTAAATAAGGCTGAGGATATAGCTGTGCGGTAGAGCCAGTGTTTTCAGTGCCTACCGGAGAAAGGAATGAAGGGAGATGGGGAGGGCTGTTCAGGTGCCAGCGTCTATTTAAAACTCACAAGAGGCTCCCTAGCAAGCAAACATTTGGTATGTTAGTAACCATTAGGTTATTGCATGCACCACTAGCCAAGACCTTGCTTTTTCCTTCCTCTCTAATTAACGAGCTGATTAACAATGGGTGAGCTCTGTCCTGGCTGAATTGGTGTGAAGCCACACAGCAGGGCATGTGAGTTGGCCATGTTGGCTTATTTGCTGACTTACTGAAGATGAACTGGGAATCATAAGACTCGCACTTAGCAAGTCTCGAAGGTTTCTAAACACCTGATTGTGTGTTTTAAAGTCATATCCCAAGCATATGTTTGGCAGTTGCATGATCTTAATTCTGTGACCCTCATACTCTCCAGTGGGTCCAGTTAATTGTGTCACCCTGCATGTGGCTAGTTTGCTGCGATGATGAGAAACTGGATGCAGATACCTGAGCGGGGAATGATTCCTGTGACTTGTCTTTCTCGCCTTCCCTCTGCAGGCCCGTGATGGTAACTTGGGTGAGAGTCGATGACGAAATGCCTCAACACGCCGTACTGTCCGGGCCAAACCTGTTCATCAATAACCTAAACAAAACAGACAATGGTACTTACCGTTGTGAGGCTTCTAACACAGTGGGGAAAGCTCATTCGGACTACATGCTGTATGTATACGGTACGTGAGAAGACGAAACACCCCCCTACTCGCCCTCTGCATGTAGCTGCTGCCTGGGCTTCACCCTCAAAGCCGTTGATCAAGTTGAAAACAAAAAAACCAGTTGGTATCCTACAGGAACTTAAGGAAGCTTGGCCTGAGGTGGACCCCAGTGGTCCCCACCTGGCTCAACAGTGACTGGTGTTCTCCCCCTCTGACTGTGGGGGTTTCCCACGAGATCACAGTCTCTGATGGTGCTGAGTACGAAGGCTGTCCGCAGGCATAGGTCATGGATCCTATGTTAGAAGTAATGTCTGAAATATTCAACCTTACCAATTAGTGGCGTTCAGCTCAGAAAATTTATTCCCAGTGGGTTTTTTTTTTCCTATGATGCATGGGCTAGCCTTTCTCCTGCTTTGATGAAAAAATATATCTTATTTCCAACATGAAGCTATTAAATCCAGAAGGCTTTGCAAGCCAGTAAACACTCAAACTAAATACAAAGTCTTTGATAGTTGCACAGACCACCTATATCTTCTATTTTAGACACAGATGCCAACTTTTAAAAATATGCTTTTTTAATCAACATTTTTCTACAAGGTTATTAAATCATATTACTATGAATTTCACTTTAGAATCAACAGATATGCATTGAACACCTAAGGCAGTAGGCATTTCCCATTTCTATCTTGCTGCTGATTTTACATATTGTGACTATCCTCTATTTAGTTGAGAAGTATACTCTTTCTAGTCTTGTGCTATCAAATTTGATCTCTTCTGTCCAGTTGAAGTCTCTTCATTTTATATTAAGAAAAAGTCGTGCACTGGCCCAACACATAATGAATTACAAATATTTGAATATGGGGGCCACATTCCTGTCTTCATGATAGCTTAGTAAACAATCCAAGTTAAATTATAAATGTGTGAGTATCGGCATAGACACATAAATTATACATATGGAATAGTATTTAGACTATACTGTCCCAGAACCTGGGCACCCTCCTTATGAAGAAAAAAAAAGGAGAGGTATTTTTGAACAGAGAAGCATCTTTTCTACCATACCTATATGAATATGAAATTATAGTCCTTAGCCTATACCTGAGGGGTTTTCCCCCATTAACACAGTGGTTCTCAACCTCGCTAATGCTGCAACCCTGTGGTGACCCTAACCATAAAATTTAGTTACTACTTTTATAATTGTAAGTTTTCTACTGTTATGAATTGTAATGTAAATATCTGATATACAACCCCAAAGGGGTTGAGACCCACAGATTGAGAACTGCTGCCTTAGAATTAAAAGATCCTGTCAAATCCTTATTTGCAAGCTTGTAGAGTATGCTGTCTTTGCATGCTGCTCAGTCTCACGAGTGCTCATTAGAACCGTTCTCAGTAGTTAAGGAAATCCACGAAAGAGAATGGTTCTGCTGTGTAGGTGAGAAAGGGCACAAGGCACCTGGTTTCGGCTGGCAAGGTGCAGAACAGCTCTGCTGCACTCTTTGGCAGTAATGGAAGATGCTTTCCTCTCTGCGCTCTTGCAGACACCCCTTCCACCGTAAGGTCTAAGCCTGATGGAAGTGCCCCTGACATTTGTGCCCAGGTTTATAGACATCAGTCAAGTTCTCCTTACAAATTTCACATTACAAAAAGCATTGATCACTTCCTGCCAGTCTGTGACGCACTTCTCTGATTCATACAACTAAAAAAATGGTTCAATTTACAGTGCCTACTATTCCTATTTCTCAAGATGAGAAGAAACATTTTGATGCCTTGTTTGGCAAACATATTTGTATAATTTGGAAAATGAGCTTATAACCAGAATTTGTTGAGTGTTCCCTTCATGCTGTTTCCAGCATTGACAATTTTAGATGATCTCATCCAATTTCTACACCCTGATTTGTGCTTATTTTTCACCCCATTCAACATATGATACCATGAAGCTTAGAAAGATCACATAACATGGCCTAGTTCACAAGGTTCCCAGATCACCCTAGGGCCACCATACTGTCATCCCAAAACCTACTGCAAAATTGGTCTTTGCAATTCTTCTTTTTCTCATGGCTTTTCAAGAGAGATTAAGTCCCTCCAAAATAAGATTGGCCTTTTTAAATTAGCCCCCTGGACCACAATGCATTATTTGAAAACCAAGTATTATAGGAACTCATCTGTATGCAAACTTACCTATATAAAGACATATCCATGATCCATCCAGGCTACAGGCTACAAGGGATTCTCTGTATCTTGCTCCCTGCTAGTAGTGCCATTGGAATGGCAGGCCGGCATGCTAAACCCAAGTGTTGCTGGTCTAGTAACAAAACATTCTAACATTTTGGGCAGGGATGGGCAGATTGTCTTTTCAAAGCAATATATTGTAGTGCTTTTGCAATTTTTTAAGTACTTTGTGAATTAAAAGTTGCTACACTTCTAAAATATTTAGTTCTCTGGAAGTAAATTCTCTACTTGAAGCATCTGGCTGGTTAGAGCCTGATTCCCAGTAGGGTTTGTTCTTTTAGCATCCATGTCTCAGGCACAGCTCATTAGCTTCAGCTCTTTCTGTTCCTCCCTATGTTTGTTGTGATGCTGCGCACTGATTTCGGGGCCTCTGGCATACTGGGTAAGCACTCTCCCATGAGCTACATCCCAGCCCTCTGATTTCTGAAAGAGTGGCCTTGTGCTACCCTTCTTACTGAAAATGACCTCAGCAAGGACGTTTCACCTGATAATGGAATCTGATTCATTCAAGGTTTCCTGAACCAGATGTGAAGGACCAGATTTGCCCCGTAGTGATGGAGATCCCTGGACATGTATCATTTTTACATATTGAGAGGTCCTGGTGACCTCCCTGACATCTATCCCCTTGTCATCTTGTCTGCCTTTTGGTTCATAATCATATCTTCAGATCACATTCATGCTCATTCTTATCGTGTTGCACACATCATATGCTTTGTGCTATTGCATTTAGAAGCAGTTTTGAAAATAACATTAGAGTACAGCAGAGCAAGTCTTCCGAGGAGCAATATTGCTGTTCAGTGACAATACTATAATTGAAGCAAACAGAAAAGCACATTATTTGTCCCTTGGATGGACAGGAGGTACACTCTGTACAGTTCACTTGTAGTGGATGGAGGCAGTCTCCCATGCTGGCTAAAGTCTCAGGGCACTCAGCTGAGAGAGGTGCCATCTCTCTCAAGTTGGCACCTGTCATTGATGTAAATGTGTTCAAACAAGTTGCCCAATCACAAAGACAACTTTCTCACCTGTGGCTTCAATAAAACACACTAAAGGACAAGACTGAAATGATGTTCAGTCATTTCTTATCCTGTTCTTTTTAAAAGGTAATTTAAATTTTAAATTTCATCATTTCTGCTTCTTAGGATGAGACTTTGCCTGGAGTCTTTTTTTTTTTTTGACTCATTGAAGACTGCATTAAACAACAGTCTAATTTACTTGTTTCCCCATCTTCAAGGAGAAAAGCCTGTCATAAAGCAGAGCCATTTGCTGTTGGTTCTTCCTTATCAAGTTCATTGTGTGAGAGGAGCAGTTGGTGAAGAATATGAAAACCTTTGATTATTGATCAATGATAGACATCATTTCATGCAGACCTTGCAGCCAAGCACCAAAAGAGTCATTCCATCAACTTCCAGGAAGTTGTGCCAAACCCAGTAAAGGTGCAATATATAATTAAAGTTTTGATGTATTAATTAGACAATCCGAGGGCTCACTTGAAGATAAAAGGACCCCAGATGTGTCAGGGAGAAAAAGCTGACGTGCTTTAGATAAAATTTAGAATCAAAAGCCTTCAAATCGTCCTCTGCTCTATTACAGCGGAGTGATTTCTTAGTTCAAAGTCTTGCTGACAATTTAACACATTCAGTTTGATCATCTGGGCCTAGACTTTTTTTTTCATTTTTGCCCTTTTCTTATCCCCAAATAATTTTTGAGATGACAGAAATACAGTGTATCAGGTACCAGACAGAGGCTTCCTCTTGGGCTCCTAGATTTAAGGGTCAAACCTCATTTATATTTAGCTCTCTTGTTTACAAGGTGGAAGATGTTCTTTCATTTTTATCATTGTGGTCCACTTAGGTCAAGCTTTTAACATGAGCAAAGGCAGCTTATTAATATTTATAAGGTGTAAAAATTTATTGACTTTTAAAAAATAACATCTCAGTAAAATCTCACTTGCCTGGAACTTGGTACTCTGTTCGTGGTGACATTCTATCTTCTTTGTACTTATTATGGATACAGAGGTGGTTTTCCTTCCTGCTGGGCTGTATTGATGGAGAATAATGAAGTTAGCATTTGCAGAGAGCATGTGTGCAGTGCCATGTCCATTCTTGGCTGATCCAAGCCCTTTAAATGCAGCGGCTCCTTCTCCTCTTTCCTCCCATCTGTGAAGTAGAAAGGGACAGCCATTGTGCTTTCTTGGCACTGAGGTGACTTAGCCTTGCCTTTAAGATCTGGCCGGGTTAAGGGTTTTGAGCATTTAGATATTTTTTTCTCCCTTTTCCAGTTCTCATTTCATTTTTATTCACGTCATGCATAAGAAAGCTGTTCTTTTCTTAGCTCTTCCAACCGAGGCTTTCGGGTGTAGTTTCAGACCAACGTCTCTGAGGGCAAGGAACTTGATGGTTTAAAAAAGCGAGTCATCCAACCAACATCTTAGTGTCTCCATGCCTTTGTTTGTCGTTACTGGTCATTGTTGTGTTCAGCATTGTGGGTTTGATTTTCTTTTTTTTTTTATCCAGATCCCCCCACAACTATCCCTCCTCCCACAACAACCACCACCACCACCACCACCACCACCACCATCCTTACCATCATCACAGGTATGGTACCTTCATCACCATTGGAAATGTCCTCAGTGTATATTGTCTTTCTGGTATAAACAAAGAGAAGCCTAGCTTTTCCCTGTAAGTCCTCTGAGCTTAACTGTTCCTTTACTTTGGAACTCTAGAGACACTCGATACTATACTCTTGAATTGAATCTTAAGGATCTAGAAGGACCTTTAACATCTGATCAGATGACTCGCACCTTAGCGTGAGGCAATTCTTTTTGAAGCCTCACCACCCAAAGCAAAAACACTAGGAAAAAATGGCAGCCAGGCTGCTAAACCCTCCAGTAGCTTCTGCTTGGCCCCTGCTGATGAACTGGTAAGTATTGTGGCCTGGATCATGTCCTGGTCTAAATTTCGTCTTAATCCACATGAAGAAAGTACATGCACCAAATTTCAGCATGTGTCCTCGGGCCACACTATGGGATGCACTGTCATCCGCCCTCCTCTAATGGGTGCCTGCTGGCAGTAGAGCTGCTGGGCCTCTTGTGGCCCGGGAGATTGCAGGGAACAGAGGGAGCCAATCTTTTCCAGGCTGAACACTCATGTGCACCTCCTCTTTTTTACACGGCCTCCCTCCTCATCCTGGTACCCCGTGGCTCTCAAATAGTTTGGTGTTGCTTGACTGGAAGCCTTGGCCTTTCTTCTGGTCTAACAAGAGAGGATAGCTCATGGCTGTACCATACCAACTCAAATGTGCAGGACTTCTTAGACCAGGCCTACCCCAATCACTACTTCCAAGTGTCCGCTCTAATGGAGGAGAGAATCTCTTAAAATGTGACTTTGCCACTTAAGTCTGTTACCAGGCAAGTGTCCCATGTCCCTTTGAGCCGTGAGTCCAGCCATTTGATCCCTGGACTCCTTGATACACACTGAATATCTATCTCACTTGATGCTCTTCATGTTCAGCTCTTTAGGAATCACCTTCTAGGATCACATTGATTTTTCTGAAGATGTTTTCTTTTCCATTTGCTCAAGAGTCAATGAGACAGCAGAATGCTAAGTGTCCAGTGAAAGAGAAGGCCTCATCAGTAGATATTACAATGGACCGTCTAATCCAAGTTTTCTTCACTTTGCAGCTATTGCAGTGAGACAAAGATCTCTGCCATAACCCACCACTGAAGGGCTTCCTAAATACGGCCTACAAGCACATCTGTGCCTATATTAAATGTTATACCTTCTGAAAAATCCATCAATTGGTTTTGTGTCTCACTTTAAACCTGGCTCCATCTAGAAAGTTTGCTTCCTAGTTCTTGTCTGTGTGTTTCTGCTTGAGCTGTCAGTTCCCCCTGCTTCTTAGTGCATTCAGTTTTGTGTGTAGTAGACCAATCCCTGGCATCTTCTGTAGTGTGTATTACCACATCAAAGATGTTCCTCCTCCTCTGCTTGGATGTCCACAGCAGCCATACTGCTGGTGCTTCATCCTAAGAATTCAGTTTCTTGTCTCTTATCTATTTAGTAAAATGGACTGGGTGTGTACTTTTGATTGTGTTTGGCTTGGCTGGCGTTGCTGGGATGGAACCCAGGGCCTCTGGCATACTAGGCAAACATGTACAGCTGAAATATATCCTCAGTCCTTTAGGCATGTGCTTTTCTTACCAGGTTACGTAGTTTTCTGTGAAAGGCCCTTGGGATGCTGGAACAAATAAACAAACGGTGTAGGTATCACTAGCAGTGTGTTCGTCTTTGTCAAAGTATGACCCAGCCTTTATACCTCCCACAGTAGAAGATTCTGTTTAGGTATCTGTAAGGGTTTACATCTGAGGTCAGTAAAGTTTTCACTCATTCTGTGTATAAACCCCCCGTTTTTCTTGAATGTGAAACAACACTTTTTCATGTGTGTCTGGTCTCATCACTGACTTAGGTTTTAGTTTTTGATTGTTTTTTTTTTTTTTTTTTAAATATGAGGTTAGCATTCCCTGACTCTTCTCCATCACTGCAATCAATCTCCCAAGTCACCCGAGTTGCTCTTATTCACAGCTCTTAATCTTTTGCTCCCCGGGACCTCCTTCTCTTCTGAGGTCCTGCAATATCTGCAACTCATCATGTTCACAGTTCTGCTGGCCCAGACTTGATCTAAAAAGAAACTATTAGAATAAAAAACACCATATTTCTGTCCACATCAGAGATGACTTTAATCAGAATGTGTCTACTTCTGTCTCTGCCACTGGCCTCTCCATTCAGAATAACTAAGGATGATCTCGCAGGTGCACTTCCGTCTGTGGGTGTTAGCACTCGAATGCTTTCTACACCCCATATGCACCTGTGGTAATGAATGCCCAGATCTTCAGTGTCACACCCAGGAGTCATTAAACTAACATTGCTACTAAAACAGCCTTACGGAATCCGTCACCTTAATGGAAATGATCTTTTAGGGCTACTGTGACTTAACAGTTTACCTTCTACATATTTATCTTGGCCAGAAAGCAACCTGTAGAATTTAACATTCGTCCTCTTCTCCAAACAGATTAAAGGTTATGAACTTTGTTCTGTGTCCCATTTTAAAGGTTCAGGCTAAGCTCTAGATTTAGATTGGTTCCTAAAGAATCTTCCAGCCGGGATCCTGACAAATGGATAGCTAAATTAATTTCCACTCCTCCTCTCTCTTGTACTGTTTGGTACATTTACAGTCACCATTAGCCTTAAAAGCTTCAACAGCTGAATCCAGCGACAGTAACGCAAAGCTGGGGCTCTAAAGGAAAAAGAAGAAGCAGCCACAGTCAGCTATTTCTTTCCTCCTAAGTCAAGCGCAATAACTGAAACCCATTCCCCAGGTCAGAGTTTCATTACCAGGAAAATGTACAAATGCAATAGAAAAAAAATATTTTTAAGCTCAAAAGGTCCCGGTTGGTTTCTGAATTCTCCAAAAGAAGACTTGCATAGCTATCCCCAATCTTCCCCCGTCAGGATAATGGAATTGTTCCTCTTGTTAGGAAGGCAGGCTGGCATTCTGTTCCGAGTCATCTGACTCTCTCAACACATGCTACAGCTCCATTCTGAACCCTTAAAGAGGAGGACTTCTATGGCCTCCAGCTCTTCTTTGCCCCCTCTCCTACTCTTACATTTCCTAGTTTCCTAGGAGAGCAGTGACCTTTGCATACTGTCCTCTCCAATTGAAGCAGATCTGGTGACATGTCAGCCACACCTGAAGGGTTGCCCTGCCTACGGATAATTTTCTGCAGGTGTTAAGAACTGGAAAGAACAGTCAGGCTGGGCATGGTGTGCACACTTTTAATCCCAGTGCTTGGGAGGCAGAGGCAGCTGGATCTCTGAGTTGGAGGCCATCCTGATCTACAGAGTAAGGCCTTGTCTCAAAAAACAAAAAGAAGAAGAAGGAAGAATATTCCTTATCCATCTGCCATATCAACAGAGTTGTAGCCTTACCATTAACATTATTCTATGGCCTCTCCACATAAGAAACAATTTGAGGATAGAACTGGGTGAGAAGCCTTGTAGAGCTTCGTTGGCATTTGCCCTAAAGTTTAAAAGTATCGCTCTCATCTTTCCTGCTCATTGACGTTAGGATCATTTGGTTCTGCTCAGCTCTTGGCTTTGGGAAACTCCCACCCTTAGTGTTTTATTTTTTGTCCCATCAAGTTGTCCTTAGGGCTTCTTCGTTTGTGAGAGTGTATGACATGACATGGGAGAGCAAACCAGTTGGACTGTTTGACCTTTCTTAAGAACCCCATGTTTTGGGGCTAGTAGCGGGCTCTGTCTCTGTGCTTGGGGATAGCTGTAGCTTCTTCCTCTCCATTGGGTCAGGCTGCCTTTCTGAAACTTGCTTGGGAAAGTGGTCTGTTTCTCTCTTTAATTAACTTGGATCTTGTATTGTTCCTACCTGGTGGAGTCCTGACTTGAGTACTTGATGGAGAGTGCCAGGAAAAGTTCTCAGCATTCATCGTACACCCTCCTAACAGTTTAGATACAAAATTCAGGCCAGGAGGAGCTCAAACTGTGGGTCGCAATGTACACACAACTGCCATAAATTAAAAAAAAAATTAAAACAGCCTTAGAATAAGAATGAATAGCTATAGGGCCAGATTGTGAGACGCATTTAAATATGCTTTTATAAGAATGAAGTAGGTCATTTCTAAATGAGTTTTTTTCTCTCTCTCTCTTTTTTTAAAGCATGTATTCAATTAAATATTTGGTGTTTCTTGGAAAGGAAAATAGCAAGGTTTCTCTTATTGGTGTCAACGCACTCAAAATCCAATATACCTGGGAGGAAGTGGCTCCTAGCCTCAGACTCGTGTTATTATTTGGGCTTTCACAGCTTGATAGCATAGGCTTTTCCCAGTGTTAATGTGGATCGGGTCATATAAAGAAGGCAGACACAGGCTTTGTCCTTCAATAGCATTTGGAGACCTACACCGAGCTTGCATGCCGTCTCTTATATGTAAAGGAGAGGACACGTATGCTTGGTGCCAAGTCTATAGTGTGGCCATCTAAGTCGTAATGGAGCTTTGTTCCACATAGAGGTCTCAGTTTCCCAAGTCTCAGCCTAGTGATTTCAACCGTGTGCTACTGGTAATGGCACAGTGCAAGGGCTATAAGCTGATCTGCTTTCCAGTTGCATTCCACAAAGATTGAGCACCCACAGTGTGTGCAGAAAAGGACTCCTTAAAACCCCTTCCTGTGCAGTTGAGAGATCCCTGCAACCTGAGATTTAGTTTCAAGGCAACAGGTGCCACGGGAGAGTATCACAGAAGTGTTCGTTGCTCGGTGCTGTCAAGGAACAGCCAGAATGCAGATACGAAAGAGTAGCATTTGGAAATGAAGCATGAAGAACCCATGTACTTCCAGCATCTCTCTTCAAGGTGTGTCTATTGATGCTGCCTAGGGAAAGCCCCTTTTTTTCTAAGAAACGCACATCCTTTATCCTAGGACGTTTACTGAACTGTCTTCTTCCTAGGTTTGGCGTCTACACCATTAAAACATGAGTCTTCCTTTATGTACTGAGCACTTACAGAGTAACTGATATGCCAGTATGCCTG